ACACAATGGTAAGAGTTTAGGACTCAATGACTTCAAATAATATGAGACACCCACACAACACACTAACTCCACTGGCCTAATGAGGAACATGCAACAGTGGGATGGAGTAGCCCTGGAGAGGTTTTCTAACAGTGGATGACACAACAGCACATTACTCATTTTCTCCAAAAGAGAAACAGTCCTGATGTTCACCACGCAAAAGGACCTCTGTAGAAACAACCCCAGGAAATTAAAGCAGGGCCATGAAGCAAAGCCCCTCAGGGAGGGACATAGCCTTGAGCCAATGAGTTCTGCCCTGAGACACTCCCTGCCCTTTCGCCTCTCAGGCTAATTTAGCACCAGTAAAGATATGATGACATCAGGAAAAGAGAAGGGACAGAAACTGTTTACTTATCCAGAAGTCATTCTGAAAATCAAGACGGTAAAGATTGCTAGCATGAAAACAGATCATATCTTGGTGATAGTATATATCCATAACTGCAGTTATTAAAGAAAGGAGATATAAGAAAGTGGGCTAAATGTTTAAGGGGATGTTGTTGTTGTTATGTGCTGTGGAGTTGGTTCCGACTCACAGTGACCCTATACAGGGTTTCTGAGGCTTTCTCCTGCGGAATAGCTGGTAGTTTTGAACTGCTGACCATGAGATTAGCAGCCAGATTCGTAACCACTATGCTACCAGAGCTCCTTTAGAAGCTTTTGCCTGCATCAGCATTGCCAATTACCTGCAGGATACCAGCAGTCCTAATGGTTCCTGAGAGATCTCAATATTTTGGTCAAGGGCAAGTTGAATTTGGATCTAATCCACAACTGTCAAGTTGCACATGACCAGAGTGCAGAAACTGAGAAAATACAAGACTAAGAAGGGATACGAAGAGGAGCTGGGGCACAGGAATTCTGCTGTCGAGGGTGGAAAGGGCTGGAGGGACAAAAGCAAGTAAAGAGTTCATGGAGTGGGTCCTGCTGGGTTGTAGTGTGAGCATGGCATGCTGCCAAGAGGTACAAGAGCCCAGAAAGCAATTGGAGGAGAGTCCAGGGACACTACCTCTAGGTCAGAAAGCTCATGTAGCACTGTTATCTCTAGGACGGTTGAGAGGTAATTCTTCAAACATTCATTTGTGCCTCTGAAGTGCAATCACATTGCTAGGCACTGTTGTTAAGTGCCTTGGAGTCAGTCCGACTCACAGAGACCCTGTATAGGGTTTCCAAGGAGTGGCTGGTGAGCTTGAATCACTCATTTTGTGGTTCAAACCGACCTTGCAGTCCAGCGCATTGACCCATAATGCCACGCCAGGACTTCTTGCTAGGCACTAGGGGATCAGAAACACCAGAGCCAGCCTCTTGGGCCTCAGTGAAGGCTGTAGCTACCTCTCTAAATATTTAGACTGCCTCTTGTCACTCACTCATTTTCCCAGACACCTATCAAACTGGCCTTGGTGCCCCAGAGACCACGTCAAGGTTTGGATGCATGTTTGTGCAGATGGACAAGTCTTCTTGGATTATGAGACATGCTAGAAAACAAAGGAAGTCTGCGAACAGTGACGTAACACTTTCATCAAAGGTGAGAGTCAGGCAGCCCCAAGTGAAGAGGAGGGTGACATAAAGCTGAAGGATGCTATGCAGTGCATAGAAAGAGGAGGAGCAGGAATATGCCTGTGTGGAAGCCTGGCCTGTTTCCAAGGGGGTCTGCTGATGTGAGCAGCTCAGGAAACAGGGCGTTGCAGTTAAGGCAGCACAGAGGATTTAGATCATGAAGTGGGAGGTTCTGACCTCAACCTTTAAGTGCTTACATTCGAGAAGACCTTCTAGAATATACGCTTGGTTTTCTAGCCTCCGTTATACAGGCAATTCCTTCTACTTGGAACATTTCTGTCCTATTTCCCTTGCCCTGTATCTCCTTACAGAAATCCTAACTATCCTCCAGGACTCAACTGAAGCTCCATTTCTTCCATGAAGCTTTACGTGATCCCCTAAAGTTTCTATTGACTTTGTAGCTCTCATGCTGTTATTCATACCTTGCCTTACCATGAGTTTCTTTCATGCTTCTTATTTTGCCTACAGACCTGTATGCAGTTCTTGGGGCTGAGACTGTATCTTAATTATCTCTAAATCCTTTTTGCAAACTGACCCATGCATAGGAGATGCCTCAAGCTTATTGGAATTAAAGTGACTCTTCGGCTCCTAGAAAGAACAAACGAGAGTACTTTTTAAGTATTCATTTCAATTTAAGTTGTTTAGCACAGGTTAACTGTTCTACATATTTCTTGGCAAGAGGTTTTCGATGGTAAGAAATCTTTCAGGCCACTGTACTAAAGAACCCTGTGAAGTGTCTTCAGATCTGACAACTGCTGAATTCCTAAACAGCATCCCTCTGGAATTGCCTGCTGGATAGATGACACAGGCCCAGAAACAGTGCAATGAGGAAATTTCAAGCTCACCAGCCACTCCTTGGAAACCCTATACAGGGTCGCTATGACTTGGAACAAACTTGACGGCACTTAACAACACTAACAAAAAAATTGTTTTGGTTTCAACATATCAGATGTCAAATAATCCAAACATTTAAACCTTACTAAAGGCTCCTCGGAAACCCTATACAGGGTTGCTATGGGTCGGAACTGACTCCAAGGCACTTAACAACAACAAAGGCTCTTGTGGCCTGGGGTATACTTTTCTTTAATGAAATAACGTACCTTTCTCACCTCATCACTTTAGGTTCTTCATGGAGTTGGTATTCAGAATGAAATATTTTAGATGCTAACTGTCTCAAGTCTCACCTCCTATGTCTCATGAATGAAAACTATAACAAACACAATTAAAACTTGCTTTCATTCTGTAGCCAACAGTCTAGTTCATTCACAGTCTTTATTCCCCACACTATTCAAAGGATTATACATAGTCTTAGGATAACAAGCACTTACTTTCAGTTTACAGAGAGGGAAAAACAGTCTAAAAGCCAAGTTTTGAAGGTTTTGTGAAAAGAGCTTGCCAGAGGTACATTCTTAGGAAACAGAGGACCATCTGCGCAATTGGGCTTGCAAGGAAGGTGGTGAGGCAGTTGTAGGTTTGCTGAGAGCTCTAAAAAGTTACATGCTAGCATCCAGTAAGAATGTATTCCAAGGCCCTCACAACTGGCAGGACTGTCTTAACCCTGGGCATCGGATGGTTCTCAAAGATGGAAACCAGCAAAATCAAACTGGGAACTTGAGTTTGGATTAGTCTCTAAAAGCCACATAATTCAATTTAATCATTTATAGAGTGGAAAAAACCCAAACCCATTGCGTCAACTTGATTTTGACTCAAAGCGACCCAATAGGACAGAATGGAAATGCTCCATAGAGTTTCCCAGGCTGTAAATCTTTATGGACACAGACTGCTTCATCTTCCTCCTGTAGAGTGGTTGGTGGGTTTGAACCACCAGCCTTTTGATTAGCAGCCCAATGCTTAATCCACTGCACCATCAGGACTCTTTTAGGAGGAGGAATAAAAGCCCAGATATAGGCTAAGCCATTTGTCCAAGCACAGGTGCACAGAATTAAAAGCAGAGCCAAGACTAGAATCTGGTACTCTTATCACTCCAAGTAATAAAGAGCAAGAACAATAGACTATACGATCTAAGCTCAGTATATACTTGAAAGTTTCATATCATTTCATATAATCCTCACACTTACCCGATGAAGCAGGGAAAAAAAATACAATCCCAAAGGTAAGACATTGAGGCCCAGGGAAGACAAGTGAATTACCCAAGGTCAAACCGATTTTATGTAGAATACGAACTCAGCTCCTTTCCAAAGTTCTTTCCAATGCTGCTCAATTCCCGTGTAACAGGTTAAAGGAAGAATGGTGACTATTTTAGGTTCTTGGATGTGAACTCCAATGAAAGGTAACAGACCAGCAAGCACTGTGCTTTTTGAGGTATTACTATCTTCTAAGCCTTGGTGCTACAGGATAAAGCACTGGACCACAATGTTGATTTGAATGGAAGGGTCGGTGGTTCAAACTTACCAGCCGCTCCTTGGAAACCCTATGCAGTCACTATGAGTTGAATGGACTTGATGGCACTTAACAACAACAACAATCCTTAGCAAAAAACTGTTTACAACCTTTGTAATGTGAGGTAGCAGCAACATCCACTAGGTGGCTGAGTCTCCATCCCTCTTCCCTGAGTCTGGGCTGGCCTTGTGATTTAACCAAGAGAATGCAATGGAAATGCCACAGTGCCAACTCTAAGCCTACGCCTTAATGCTGTGCACACTTTGGTGTGTTTTCTTGAAATCCTGTCAGCTGGCATGTGAGCAAGCCCGGGCTAGCCTGATGGAAGTTGCTAGACCACATACATCACAGCCAAAACAGTCCAACTGTTCCAGCTGAGGTCCCAGAGATGTGAGTGAGCGCAATGAAAATCTGCTGTGCCCAGACCAGATCAGTACATACATCACCCTAGTCATCTGGGTTCTGAGCAGGCATTCTAAGCAGTTTTTTCCAGTCTGACTCCTTGCTGAAAACCTTTCAATCCCTGATTCAGTATACTTGTGATGAAAGACACATTCTCAGCAGGGGTCGGCCTGGATCGAACTGGTGTAAAGCCCTGGTTTTGAGCAAAGATAAATGGTCATTCGTTTTAAACCATAAAATTTTGGGTTCTCAGATTTACAGTCTATCACGTATCTGGTAAAGCCTGCTCTTGTTGGCCTTGCTACCTATCTGAGGAATCTTCCCTTTTAAATATGTAACACTTAAAGGACTGAGCTAAAGCTCAATGTTGGCTCAGAATAAAAGGCTAAAACGTCTCAGCCAGTTGATGCTCCTATGATAATGCTCAATGTGGACATTCATTTCCCCATCTCTATCCCTTCTCCACCCAGATAACCCACACAATTCTTAAGGCCACAGAGAACCAACCATACATCCCCTTTCCCATCTACATGCAGAGATCCTGCAGGACAGAACCGATGAGCAGCACACACGTTTCCAAGTAAAGAACGGCAGGTGTAGCGACTCACCGAGGGCACAGGTAAGTTGCCGTGCCGGCTGAGAAAGGAGTTAGAGACGGACACACTGATGCCCTGAGTGGCACTGCCGTCCTCAGGTGTGAAGGTCACTTTAGTTTGCTGGACACAGTAGGAGACAGAGGAGAGGGAAGAAGCAGCATAGGAGGCCTGCTGGACAAGAGAAATGACAAGGAAGAAGGAAAAAAAGCGTAGAAGAGTCAAGCATAAATACATACTGGCTACCAAATTCTGCTCAGGGACATTTGGGATGGGGTAGCTTCTGTTGAGGCATCAGAAATACATGATAAGTTCAGGCATCAGAAATACATGTTGATGGTGACTTGAACAAGAAGGTACCCTCTTTCTCTTCCTTATGAAAGGTTTAAAAAGTTAACTTTCATACAAATTGTGTCCTTTGGAAGCAGGTGTTAAGGTGGAAGGAGGACAAACAGGCGTGGAGTCACACAGACCTTGGTTTCGGTCATTTATTTAGGGTTTTCAGCTCTTTCCACATGGGGAGCATATAGGTAAGGTGATCCATGCTTCATCAGTGTGCAGACAGGGTGTCAGGCTGTAAGGGTTATTAGACCTTGGCTCTGCCAAATACGAGCTGAGTGGCCTTGGACATTACCTGACGCTCTCTGTGCCTCACATTTTTTATCTGAAAAATGGGCAATCAATGGCATTCCTAGTTAGGACTCTGGGTAGAATTAAATGAGATAATATGTATAAAGTAATTAGAACTGCATCCACCAGAATATAAGAGCCAATGTTGTTGTTGTTAAGTTTCGCTGAGTTGGTTCTGACTGTATAGATACCCTGTATAGAGTGTCTGAGGAGTGGCTGGTGGGTTTGAACTAGAGACCTTGTGGTTAGCAGTCTATTCAGATCCTACAGCGTCATATCAGGACTCCATAAGGGCAAATAGACAAAAGTAATTCTTCTTATTATTTTCATTTGTAAAACAGGAACATCTCCTAAGTCTGTCTTTGAGAAACGATATACCACTGAGTTAGCACAGTGCATGCCACGTGGTACTTATGGGCTTCACTGACAGTTGGCGTTGGTTTCCTCTTGCAGCTCTGGGCTCTGAATAAGCCTCTCGAGCTCCGGAAGCCTGAACTCACTTAAAATCGACAAGACAGGACCTGGCACAGGGACTGTGATGACATATAAAAGTTCCATGCTCGCATGATGCAGGTGTTCCATTCAGCTGTTTGTTGAACTCCTAGAGTTCTCTGACCTGCTTCTCTCTGAGGGGTATCTTGCCTCTGCTGTCAGCTTGGTGTCGAGACCAGTGTGCTGCCTCCTCAGGACAGATGCTGACCCTGAGTGTGTCTTCAAATTCTCAGGAGCCCACAAAACTCCCCAATGCTCACTTGTGGACATGGCAGAAGGGTCTAAGGATATTTCAAATCAATGAAATCTGGCTCAGCAGGGGTGTGAAAGCCTCTTGTGCAGTACCAGACATTTTAGGTGATGGGTTCCTAAGGCACACCTTTACGTTTCCATGGTGAAGGTCCTTTTGTGAAACATTTTCAGAGTGGTTACCATTCATATTCAGGCAGTGTTCATGGGTTGGGCAGGGCAAATGTCTCATTTTGTAGATGAAGAACTGAGGCTCAGAGCGTAGCACACGTAACACAGCTAGTTAGTGGCAGAACTGGAACTCAAACTGGCTGGTTCTAAATCTTGAAATGAAGCAAACAGCACCACAACATAGAGACTTCTGAGCCACTCAAAGCAGAAACTCCCAGGACCAGGTATGCACTTGATGTGTCAATATATGACTACACCCCCAGCTCCTTTGGGCTTCCAGGAGTAACCCAGGGATGTTTGTTCTCTAGTCAGCAAAGGCCTCCAAGAGGCCAGGGGAGCACCTTCACATCTCTGGCAATGGATACAAGATAGCCCTGCTGGCCAACTGGACCCTCTCTTATACTAGTTTGGCCAGCATTCAAGCAAAATAGCTCATTCAACTCTGAAAAAAATCAGGGATTCCCTTCTGGAATGTTCTATTCCTGGAAAGCACAGCCGGATGATCAGTTTTGAGTCTATAACTGACCAGAGTTCACTGGGCTAGTTAACTGGTTGTTGTTGTTGTTAAGTGCCATGGAGTCGGTTCCGACTCATAGCGACCCTGCACAGGGTTTCCGAGGCTGTGAATCTTTACGGGAGCAGAATGCCTCATCTTTCTTCCGCGGAACCGCTGGTAGTTTCGAACTGCTGACCTTGAGGTTCACAGCCCAATTTGTAACCACTACGCTACCAGAGCTCCTATACTGGTATCAGAGACAAAAAGGACTTAGAGGCACACACCAGGCTGACCTGAGCTAACCTGCCCGTTCTTTGTACAAAAATCTTACAGGTTGACCACAGCAGGACAGCCTGCCTTTTGGGCTGACTTCTGCCTCATGATACAAATAAAAACGCTGGACACAGGAGAGTTTTTTGAGAGGAGGAAGGGTGCTATGCCTGAAATACAGAGTGGCTCTGTATAAAGCCACCCTGCTTTCCACAGAGCTTGTTTTAACTGGGCCATGCTGGCCAGGCCAGGGCTGGACTATAAGTCACTCTATAGAGTGAGGCCCATTATGCAAATCAAGTCCACAGATGGCCTGCACACAGACAAGGCCCTGTGCTTTGATTAAGTCCCTCCTTTCTGGGAGGTCTATGTTACAGCCAAAGAAGAGACAGAGAGAGAAACCCCACAACCAAACAGACTGTCTGCAGAGAAAGCAAATATTCTGAGCACTCATAGAGCACACTGATCTGGAGAAGAAAGGCGGCACCACCCAATGCCACCAGGGTGGGAAGGCTGCCAAAGAGGAGCCAGGAGAACATGAAAGCACCCAAGTGGGAACTGGCGAGTCCAACACACATGACAAGAGCCCTGACATGGAAGAAAACAGAGTTATGCCTGCCCCCACAGAGGAACATCCTAGTTCCTAGAGACCTTTTAGGATTGGAGATTCTGGTCACGGAGTGCAGATGTGAACTATGAGAGGGCCGCTTACCAGCTGCCGCTGCTTGGGGGGCAGGGCGGGGGGCGGTGCCAGCTCCTGTGCAGAGTCTCCGCTGCTGAAGGAGTCGTTGAAGCCGTACACTTCCATGAGGTGCTTGTTCTTCTGCTGGTAAATGTGTTCATTTTGTGGCGTCTGGTAGAACATGGAGGGCTGGGGCTCCGAGTAGTCTTCCAGCAGCTGCATGTAGGCCAGCACTGTGAGACAGAGAGGGTGGTGGTTGGCAGGCAGCCCCTCCCCCGGCTGCAGGCTGAAATGGGGCTGGGGGTTGCCACACTAAGAGAATCTCCAGCCCTACCACCCCAATTGCTCTCCTGGCAGCCAGGCAATCAGGTGACTTCCTGAGGAAGCACACAGGGGCATTTCACAGCTCAGGCTGAAAATCCCCTGGGGGTTTCCAGCCACACTGCAAGTGACACCATGACTTTGACCCTCTGGACAATCCCGACTTGTCCTGTCCCTTGCTCTTTTCTTCCAGATGTCTACACTATCCCCCCTCTCAGCTCCATGACCAGACATGTTCTTCCTCAGGCTGACCCCTCCTAGGGCTGAGTTCAGTGGTAAAATTCACTGAGGGTTAACCTCTAGTTGGGGCTCTCATTTGTTTCCATCTTAATACTGCCCACCATGTATAGTTAGTTATTTATGGATTTTGTGATGCCTCCCATTTCATTGAGCACCTCATTTATGCTAGGCTCTGGTCTAGGTGCTCCGAGCACACAGTGGCCAGGAAAGCAAATCCTCTGCTCTTGTGGGGCTCACATTGCACTTAGGGAGGCAGACAAACATTTGATGGACTATAAGGTAGAAATGAGTTCCGTGGAGAATGGTAAAGTGGGGTGCAATGGGGGTGCTATTCTAGAATATGGATGAGCCTGGGGATGATTGGGGGGGCAGTCTACCACACCACATGTGATATAAGGGCCCCAGTGGGCAGGGCACAGCTGACATGGGGAGATCAAAAGGACATGAGGCTCCAGTAGGTAGGGGTTGCTCAGGAAGGCGGTGTGAACAAAGCAGGGAAGCAGGTGTTGTTCACAATGTGGCAGAAGCCCACTGAAGGACATGCCTAGAACACATGTGTCTTGAGAAAACCATTCTAGGGCTGCTGTGGGTTTTCAGGTGAGCAATCAAAGTGCAAGTGTTAGAGGGAGTAAGAGGATACATGAGGGGGCTTCAAAGTGTTTGCACACATTCTCCATTACTTTTCAGTCCCATTTTCCCATAAAATTTTGAAGCGCCCTCGTATTTTGATAGTGCGTCCAACAAGACTGTCTGCCTACCCCTCCTCCATTAGGTCAGGGGGCTAGTCTGTGTTGGTCACTACTGTTTCATTAGTGCCTGGCACACAGTAGGTGTTCCCCAAGTATTTATAGAACACCTAACGGAAGGAACTCATGCCCTTCAGGCATTCGCCTAGTGACTCGGGAAACCAGAAATGGCTTTAGCAGGCTAGCACCCCTGGGGAATGTCTAGTAAAGTACCCACTGGGTATGTAAGACATTCAGCTCCTGTTTCCAGCTGAAAGGCTACAGAACATCCAAGTGAGAAAGACAAACTGTGAGGAACAAAAAGCTTACTTTCAAACAAATGCCCTATGACCTCTGCTTCCTAAAAATCCATTCAGAAACCCCAGCTCTTCTCATCCCTGCAATCCTACACTAAGCTACTGCCTCACGGTGGAACTGCCTATACCAACATGGCCAGCCAGTGGGCAAACCGGGCTCATGTGCAGTGTGATACCAACAACAAAGACGTCTGAAGCCAACAACAGCAGGGCCCTCACCCGCCTGGGGAGGTGAGAAGTCAGAACAAAGAGCTCAGCTGTCATGCCTCAGTGAGCTCATCCTCCCTGAGCAGGTGCGGAGCTCTCAGATCTCACATGGGAGCATCCTCGTGCACTTGACTCATGGGGTTTTAGGGTTAAGGATCTGAGCCTTATCACCCACAGAACCAGGTCTTTCTGAGGGCTTCAGGCCCTGGAGTCCAGAGGGGTCTGGGAGACACTAGTTGTGTACGGTCCCATTTTTATGAATTGACTAACCCACATTGGCACTCTCCCTGCCCAGCAGAGCCTAGGTCAAGGCCGGTACTCGTTAAATGTATTTCCTGAAATCCTGTCTTTCCCTTCTTTAGGTAGAAGTAGCAGCTCCTCACTGTAAAGACATTCCTTATACACAATATATGCACCCATCTTTAAAGAAAAAGTATTGGTCTGCCTCCTGATACACAGATTAAGAATAAATACTAATTGTGGCGCTGTGGGGGTCAATGCACTGGACTGCAAAGTTGGTTTGAACCGCAAGGTCAGAGGCTCAAAGCCACCAGCCACTCCTCGGAAACACTCTACAGGGTTATTATGGGTCGGAACCAACACAATGGCGCTTAACAACAACAACAATATACATATAATGTTGCTGCTGCTGCACACACACACTAACCAAAACCCAAATCTGCTGCCATCGAATTTACTCTGATTCCCAGAGATCCTAGGTTTCTGAGACAGTAAATCTTTATGGGAGCAGCCTGCCTCATCTTTCTCCCATGGAGAGGCTGGGGGGTTTGAACTGCTGATTTTGCAGTTAGCAACCCCCTGCTTACCCCAAAGCGCCACCAGGGCTCCTTGAACACCCAAGAAGAGGGATTCTAAAGGACAATGAGAGCTGGAAAGAAAGAGAGGCCTAGAGTTTGGAAGCAAAGACATTTAAATTGGTGTGTGGCAAGCACAAGGAAGCAAGCATTGTAAGTCATTGTTCCTCCTTGGATCCTCTCCAAGTGCCAGCAGCAACTGTTGGATGGGGCCGAATTCACAGGCCCAGGAAATTCTCAAGGAGAGTCTTGCAGGATTCATTTTTGTATTTTCAAGTAGCCACAAAGCCAGGGGCTTCATCGGAGACCTAACTTCACCAGATGATTGAAAAAGGGCTAACACGCTTGGTTAAGGACAGTCTCAAAAGGAAGGGGTTTGTCTTTTTCTTCCCTGCATCTCATCTTGGGTCCAATGTGTAGGAAATGCTCTTTTTTGGGTGCTTTCTTGGTACCCTGCACTAAAAGAGGGAGTTGTTCAAAGTCACATTCTGTCTTGAAAAGGATAAATAAGAATTTCTCATTAGCTTCAGTCAGCATTGGGTAGAAGCTGGCCTCAGGTGCACAGGATGAGAGGAGCGTTTCTGCACAGGGTCAGCTGCAGTGACTGCTAAAATAGAAGCATAGACCCCGTCTCTACAATGCTTTCTTTCTTTCATGCTGCACAGCCAGAACCATAAATTTGGGAGAAAGATGATGCAAGTCTGTGAAAGTGACCCCAAACGCCTACCTTAAACGACTCAACACATTCACCTTCTGCCTGGTCAAAATAGGAAATTTGGGTTACACTGTAATCCTTGTATAAGGTCTCTATGTCCTCCTGATGGCTGAAGTCCCTTTAGAGACCTACTAACCAAACATAGAGAAATTGCAGCGATGTTTTACAACCTTTTAGAAACAGGAGGGTCAGGCAATTTCAAAAGCAGCCCAGCATGATGGCTCAGAACCTCGAGAAGGTCCACCAGGCTCATGCTCCCGAGGGCACCTAGGACTGTGGGGTACTACGTTGGTGAAAGGAGCCAGGGACACGTGTGCCTTCAGAGCATCTCCAAAGGATGGCGTGACTCTGACATTGTTGTTGTTGTTGTTAAGTGCCATCGAGTCGGGTCCGACCCATAGCGACCCTGTACAGGGTTTCCGAGGGTGTAAATCTTTACGGGAGTAGAAAGCCTCATCTTTCTCCCGCGGAGCGGCTGGTAGTTTCGAACCGCTGACCTTAAGGTTCGCAGCCCGATTCGTAACCACTACGCTACCAGAGGAGACTGCACATGTCTGAGGCTTGTCCAGTGTTGGCAAATACAAAGCACGATTACTCTCTCACTCCTCCCTCAAAGCAACTTTGTGAGCTGTCTTCCATGGGGAATTTCAGACTAAGTTTCCAAGGGCTGCCCACAGGAAGTAAACAGCAAACTCAAGACTAGAACCCATGCTCCTGGTGTGTTAAGATGATCTCACTGCTGGGATCAGTACTTGAAACTGACGGGGCCTATTCAAAGATGGCTGAAGTCCTTGCTAACTTAGTGAAGGAGGTAGTATAACATTTGTTAAGTGCTGTCGAGTCAGTTCCGACTCACAGCAACCCTGTACAGGGTAGGGTTTCCAAGGAGCAGTTGGTGGGATTGAACTGCTGACCTTGTGGTTTGCAGTCCAGTGCTGATCCTACAGAGCTACAGGTTAAATGACAAATCTGAGCCTAGAGAGGCCTGGGAACTTGCATATTAATGTTGGACAAGTTTTTTAGTTCTTGTCAGCTTCAGTCTCTTCCTCTGTAAAATGGGCAGTAATGCCTATCATGCAGATAGTTGTAAGGATTAAATAAGATAGGGCATATAAACCATGTGCTCAGGTCACAATTCAGACTACTATTCGTTTTCAAAAGGGTTGCAACACAAATGCTGCAGACAAGGATAGAGGAGATCAAGCTAATAAATTAACAGAAAATTATCTCTGACCACTTGAGGCTGTTCAACCCCCCTTCCCTCCCCCTCTCTTCTTCACAGCTCTCTAGTGTGAGGAACACTGCTCAGTGCCTACTCTGAGAGCTGCAAGAGTGAGGGCAGCTAGCACCTCGCGCTGTTGCAGTCACCGTGAAGTGGCAGCCTGCCCTACATTTTGAGTCGAGAGGAATCTGAGAGAAAAGGAAAAGCAGAAAGCTGCTTAAGTCAAGGCAAAGAGGGGTGGAGGAAAGGACGGCAGCTCTTTGGACACATCCATGTGCAGAGGGAGAGGCACCGAGGGAAACATGCCTGCCTTATTGTTTATGCCCCTCTACTTACCCACTGTGATCGAGTCAATTGTGACTCATGGCAACCCTATTGGGTTTCAACTGAGTACAACTGCTCCATAGGGTTTCTGGGACTATAAATCTTGACCAGAGCAGATAGTCTTAGCTTTCTCCCATGGAATGGCTGGTGGGTTTGAACTATCGACCTGTGGTTAGCAGTGCAATGCTTAGCTCACAGTACACTATCAGGGCTTCTTCCCTTCGACTTAGTATCCTGTTGTTTTTAATGAGCAAATTGAAACAACAGATGGAAATGACATCATTAGTCCTACAGAGCCAGCTCTCCCTCCAGCTGGGTGACCACACCACTGAAGCCATTAGGAAAGGAGGGCAACACCCAGCGAGGAGCACTGTCTTTCTTCCCTAGACCAACCAGGCAGCCCTTGGGATAAGCCTGGCTGCTCTAAGAAACTAGGTCTTCCCTTCTCTGAGAATGAGGGTCTCTTATTTGGGAACTTGGAATGAGATGTAGTTCCTAGCTCGTTGAAGTCCTCTTCTAGAAACTTCAATTGAGGCCAGGGAGTCCTGGAACTGGTCACATCGCCATCAAATAGAGTAAGCTGGTCAACCCAAAACCGTGTTTGTGAAGTCAGGAAGAACGTGAGAATAGACAGAGAGAGATAGAAAACACTCTATGATGCGTACTAGTTCAGGGAGCTAGCAGAAAATAGCAGTTCACTGGAACTCTGAATAGGAGTTTTCGGCCAAATTTACATTTGGAAAACATTCAAAAGGTCATTCTTCTGGGACCTACTAACATCAGAGACTCAACTGTCTGATCCTTGGAGTGTCCTCAGCTACTCCTGACATGCAACTTCAAGTTTCAAGTCATGAACTGAACCTGTCATTTTCAGTGCCTGCAGACAGAGGACAGACTAGCACCCATTTCCAGTCTCTAAACAGCCACCTGCTACTGTCATGTAGCCTCAGAAAGGGACTCTGCTTGTGCTAGGAAACTGCTCTTTTTGAAATGGTAATGTCTACCTTGCTTTACAGAGTCCAGGTATGGCGCTGTGGATTAATGTGCTAGACTGCAAAGTCGGTTTGAAACACAAGGTTAGTAGTTCAAGCTTACCAGTCACTCTCTGGAAACCCTATACAGGGTTGCTTTGGGTCGGAACCGACTCGACGGCACTTAACAGCAACTACCTCCACCTTGTTTCACATAGGGACTACAGTAACGCTGTCCTGAATGCTGTGCCGCGCTATCGCGCTGTCACTGTGTGTTCAGGTGACGAGGGTCAGTGACCTGCACTGACCTCAGCCCAGGCCTCAGCTTTACACACACCATAGGAGAGGTCAGTTTCTCAGGTTGTCACAAGCTCTGGTGTCTAAAAGTGATCACAGTGTTGACATATTGGGGCTCTGAATCCCTGTGGTCCTCTCTGTTTTGAAGTAATGAGGCCACCGATTTGCTGTGGGCCTAATCCTTGAATAAAATACACCATTTATGTTACAGAAGTTGATTCCTTGCAGTGCAACGAAAGCTTACTGTGTTTGTTTTTCTTCTCTGGTAGAGGAGGTGGTTTTTCTGGGTCACCCGTTGAATCCGGAACAGTGAAATCACCCACAAACTCGGCAGGGGCTGAGGACCCTCCTTGTTGAAAAGGGAGAACAGCAGCAAAGGGCGTGAAGGGGATAGACTGGACTGAGGCTGGGTTCTGCAGGTCGTCCTCAGAGATGTTGTCGTATTGTGAAGGGTGCCGCTCGTAGGACACCCTGCAGCCAGAGCTGTCTGCAGTCTGGGAGGCCGCACTCCTGCGCTTCTTCTCTGGGAGAGCAGGTGGCGTGTCTGTCTGCTGCCCCAGGGCCAAATGTCCCTCTGGCTGGAGACAGCTGCCAAGAGGCAACTGGAAAGGATGGCCAAGAAATGGAGATCCAGACTCCCCCAAAGATTCTGGCAATGGGCTAAGGTTACAGGCCACTTGCTGAGGTATCTGGTCTGCGTTAGAGAGGTCTTGCTGGAGGAATTCGTAGTCGGGATCATAGTGATCTGTATTCATGACAGGGGAAAAAAATACCTGTTAGCCACAAGGCCTGGTAACAAGACACAATCCCACCCTTCTCACTCATTACAGCATGGCCAGACACAACTTCCATTTCATCCATACAGTGCTCTCACTTGATTTTCTAGTGTTTATTAAATTTTATTTATTATTATTAAAGTAAAACACATAAGAGTACTGCTGTTTGCTATACTATTCTTTGTACTTTTCTAATTTCTTGATTAAAGAAAAAGATACGATTATTGCAGAAAATACAGAAAACTATCAAAAAATAAAATTCACCAATAATCCCATGATAAAGCTGTCTACATTTTGATGTATTTCTTTAAAAGTCTTTTTGTCCTAGGATTTCTTAAATAAAACTTTTTTTTTTAACTATACTGAGAAATATCACATAAACATTCCTAGAGTCTTTTTATGTTGCACAGGTTTTAAAAGCACATATCTGGTAGCATAGTGGTTATGAATCGGGCTGCTGAACTTAAGGTCAGCAGTTTGAAACTACCAGCAGTTCCGCGGGAGAATGATGAGGCTTTCTGCTCCTGTAAAGATTTACAGCCTTGGAAACCCTGTACAGGGTCGCTATGAGTCGGAATCGATTCCATGGTACTTAACAACAACAACAGCATCATTTTAAAAAACCTGTATCATTTCACTAAGTGAATGTATCATAATTTATCCAATTTCCTACAGTGAATAATTAGATTGCTGCTAGTTTTTTTCTACTACTCTGAATAATGCTGAGATTAACATTCTTGGAGGAATTATAGTGTGGCGCTTTAAGATAAGCACTGGACTGCTAACCACAAGGTCGACAGTTCAAACCCACCATCCACTCCTCAGAAGCCCTATACAGGGTCACTGTGAGTCGGAATAGACTCAACGGCACTTAACAACATCCTCGGACAGAAATATTGTTATAGATCTCTCATTATGTTCCCTTAGGATAAAGTCTTAGAAGTGAGACATCTGATTAAAGGGATGTTACAGCATTAGGCTCTTTAAACCTTTTCCCATTTGCCTTTCCTACTTTCATGCACCCACAACAGTGCGCGTTCAACACTAATGAATGTTATTAGCTTGCCTTGAAAACCCCACCCCCACTGTCTCCAGCTCAGAGCCCAGATGGCTCTTAATCCTGGCAAAGAGAGTCCAATTGCACATAGAAAGAGTAACAGTAACAATGGCTACCATCTGAGTATCTCCTATGTGGTATTGCTATTTCCTGCAAGCTTTCAACCTCTTTGAGATGTAGATACTTTGTAGGTAAGGAAACTGAAGCTCAGCTTTTAAATGATTTGGCCTGTCTGGGATTTGAACCCAGGGCTGCAAGAGGCTAAAGGAACCACCAAGCAATAAAAGTCACAATGAAGTCTGTCTAAGGAGAAGAGTGACAGAGAGGCCCACAGCTCACCTAGTGTTTCACAGCTTGTGTTCCGGGAGCACTGCCCACTGTCCCTGTCCAGAGAGGACAGCTGCTCATCTGATTTGCTGAGCTTGCCTATGCTGCTGCATGGGGAAAGGCGAGGGGACTCTCCGCCGTACGAATGGCTGCCTCCTGACAGCCGTCTCTGTGCGTAACAGTCAACGTCAAAATCCTCATGTGGAAAATAAACAAAAAACAAACCCAGTCATTTCTGAGAAGTGGTGGCAGAGAACAAGAAAGAGAGAATTAGTATATTAACTTAGAGAAGGAAATACCATCAAGCTCAGAAACCTGTTGGAAAGGCCCATCTTAGATGTAAGTAATAAAACAGTGTATCTGTAACTAAAGAGAAAGAAGTCTTAAGGAGTTCTCAAAGTGTGTGGGTAGGCTTTGCTGTCCTCAGGAGACGCCCTTGTGGTTCCAGCCTCCTTTTACCCACCCCCATTTGTGAACTTCAATGCTATCTTGGAGAGAGAAGGATGACTAAAAGGCTTCAACTCCTCCAAAAGCAATCCTCTCATTCTGATTTACAGCAGGGTCTTGAGATCACTTGTTTTTTTCCACTTTAGGAACCAAATCCCAGAACTCAAGCCTTCCTCTGCTTTCCAGATGAGACTGCATTACCTGCCTATTAATTCCAACAGGCAAACTGGAGCCACTGGTAGCTCGACTCATGGGGGCCACTACAGCCACTCGGGTGGGGGATGGAGCCGACTGTCTTTTCTTAGGTGGCAATGCTGGTGGAGGGCTGAAACAGACAGAGAACTCCAATTACACCAAAGAACCCAAACAAAATTCTTTAGAAAGATACCAGGGTACAGGATAAGGTATTCTTTCCTCATTAAACTTTTCACACCTAGTTTTCACACTTTCAACTCCTGCCCCAACTCTCTTTCTGCTAAAGTAAAAGTCTATGATACCACCACCCCCCAAATTCCAAAATGAGAAAAAATCGTTTTCCCCAATTTAATAGAATATATTGTACTAACTCTTACTGGGCCAAGGCTAAAGGCAAGGACTATAATACATTACGTCAAACTTCCAAACGTTCTTAAGAGCAATGGAGTGAGCTCTTATCCTAGCTGTACCATCTTTTTGTTGTTGTTGTTGTTCTTGTTCACACCAATAAATAGGAAGTAATAGAGGGGGGTGCTGTCAAAGTTAAGTGTGATAGTATCATTACCTATTATCCACCACCCGGATTCCAGGTAAAGGGGGCTTGGGAGGCGCAACCTCTTCATCTGTGGAGTCTGGGAGCATCTCAGTTGACTGTGACATCCCAGTTGTCTTGTTAAGAATTTCCATTTCTCGATCTGTCAGGGGAAGCTCTGACTGGCTGTAGAATGTAAAAGAACTTGGGGTTAAAGAAGGTCCTGAGAGGATTAAAATGAATGTGACCAGGGTAAAAGAATGAAGGGTGAGGGCAGAGTTGTGGAGCAGCAGCTCTCAACACAAGAGCTCTGGGCTCCAGGGAGATGAGGTGCCAAGTCTGGTTTGATCCCCAGCAGGATTCTGGTTGAACCTCCCCCGCCCACCTCCCTCCAGTACCCAAGATGATCTAAGGACTTCCTAAAATGCCCCCAATTTATGTTTCTTATTTTAACAAGGGGCTTGTAGAAATTGCTAAAGGCATTATACCATGGTCCATGCTACACTCAGTTTACTTTCTTTGCAAATACTACAAAACTTTGACAAATCCCCAAAATGCAACCCTAAAAGATTCTTCTTAATTATGAAACTAAATTGGTCAGGAAGAGCATTGGTGTGGCTCACTGTGCACACACCCCCACACACTAGCCACAGATACACTCACACTGCATATTTAAACTTGAGACCAAGCAATACTCCAAAATGTGTGAGAAATCCACACATTTTAAAGTAATACAAAATCCCATCCAGAATTTATCAATAAAAGAGGACTATGGGTCCATATGGTAGTGTAGTGTTTATGAGTTGGGCTGCTAACTTCAATGTTAGCAATTCAAAACTACCAGCAGTTCCACGGGAGAAAGATGAGGCTCTCTGCTCCCATAGAAATTTACAGTTAAAGGAAACCCTATACAGGGTCACTATGAGTAGGAAACCAACTCCATGACACACCACCATCACCATCACCGTGGGTCTATCATCTACTCAATGAGGCTGCCAGATCTGGCTCTCATTCTGTCTAACAGGTGAACTTTGTAAGCAACAGAGCTGTGACCAGAGGGCTCCATCAGCACTCACTCACCCATCAGGTCTGCAGGCCGGGGCGCTAGGCTTCACTGGGCTTGTTGGAGACGGATGCCCCTGCTTTTCAATGGTGAGTCTGACCAGCTCCTACACACCACACAAGAGAGAGCAATGAAGCACAGGAGAGTTGCCATTTAGCACTGGTTTGTCGCACATTGGGTCAGTTGTCTTGTCTCCACTGCTGTGACTTCAGATTTCCCACACCCCATAAACTTAGGCTCTACACGAATCCCCAAAATATCCCCTACCCTCCAAAAATACCTTCATAGCATGCTAAGATGTTTCAAATACATAAACATACTTCCTCTTGGAAGGGGGAAATGATAAATCCCACTGTCTCAAAATGACTAAGTGTATTGCACAAATTAAATTCTAGCAGGGCAGATTTCCTTCCAGTCACCTTGTTGGGGAAGAACTACTTTTTAGTTTCCTGACACCATTATATTGTGCAACTGATGATGTCCAATAAGGGTGAAAAGGAGGAATTGGTGTCCCAAAGCGAGCTGGTCATGGGTGTGGGAGCTGGTACCCCATGATGAATTAGTTGAGGATCTTTGTCAACGAACAGAACACTAATGACATTTTACCCAGCAGAAGCTATGACTGCTGTTGTTAGGTGCCACTGAGTCAGTTCCAACTCATAGCAACCCTACGGTCAACAGAACAAAACACTGCTGGCTCCTACACCATCCTCACAATTGTTGACTTTAGAACCACTAAAATAGCAGGAAAAAAATGTTCAAAAGAATAAAATACTACCACCACCCCCCAAAAAAGAAAATGAAAGCATTTTAAAATCATAGCAAAAAAATTTTTTAATGATGAGGTCAGGATGTACTTATTTTTTTTTAAAAATTAGAATGCTTTTTTTTTTTTCCAGTTCAATGAGTTTTGACAATTGCATATAGTGATGTCACCACAACTCAAAACAGTGATCATTTCCATCACTCTTTCCAATCAATCTGCCCTATTGCAACCCACTTTCTATTGTAGTAGAATAATTTTATCTATTTTAGAATTTCATATAAATAGAATCATACACTCTTATGTCTACTTTGTTTCTTCAGCTCTTGACTGTGAACTTGGTGAAGGTTTAAAAATTAGATCATTAGTTTTTCATTCAAAAATTTATAAAAGTCATGACACAAATAGATATATGTACATCCATGCTCATCACAGCAGTATTCGCAGTAGCAAAAAGATGGAAACAATCTAAATGCAATGCCCATCAAAGGAAAAATGGATAAATGTGCTTTGGTACATGTACACAATGGAATATTATGCAATGTTAACGGACAATTACAAACCTGAGAAACATCTTATTTATAACATGGATGAAGCTGGAGGACATCATGCTGAGTGAAATTAGTCAATCACAAAAGGACAAACAGTGTATTAAGATTGCTATTGTAAAAACTTAATAAAATAGTTACCAGGGTGGGAAGGGAAAAGAGGGTAACTCATTGGCTAGAGGGGGTAGAAACCTATTAACTTGGGTGAAGGGGAAGGCAATTTACGTTAAGGAGGTTGGCAAAAAAATTATCAAGGCAGGTGAAGACACAGGGAAGAGTGCAAGCATTAAAGGCGACAGAGGTAAACACTGTTATATACACAATCCTGTAATATTGGTGATCTACAAGTAAAGGCATGGATAGACACACAGGTTAAATGGGTATGTGGGAAAAGTGGGAGTATACCCACAAATATATATTTGCTTGAAAGACTATATTTATATCTTTGCTGCAAATATATCCACTAATGTGGTGGTGCATACTGGTACGGGGGTGGTTATGAAAACTTCTTAGACAAAACCAAATACCTTGAGGGAATGAGACGCTAGACCTGGGAGTTCAGGATCATAGTCTCCGGGGATATTAAGGTCAAAAGACACAACATAGTTCACAAAGACAATGTTCCACATCCTACTTTGGTAAGTAGCAACTGAGGTTTTAAAAGCTGGTGAGCAGCCATCTAAAGTGCAACTATTGGTCTCTCCCTGTCTAGAGGGAAAGAGAGTAATAAAAATTTAAGACACATGAAAATAATGAGATTAATGGACAATGTGAACATCAGTCTTCACAACCCTGAGATCGGAAGAACTAGATGGTACCTGGCTACCACTACCAGCTGCTCTGAAAGAGATCCCATCAGAAAGTCCTAGATAGTGTGGAAGAAAAATGTGCAACAAACTCAGCGTTATAAAAAGACCAGACTTACTGGTCAGATAAAGACTGGTGGAACCCTTGAGACTATGGCCCTTGAGGTGCAGAACTGAACTATCTTCTTTTGTTGTTGTTAAGTGCCTTGGAGTCAGTTCCAACTCACAGCAACCCCTGTATATGGTTTCCAAGGCTGTAAGTCTTTGTGGAAGCAGAAAGTCTCATCTTTCTCCCATGAAGCAGCTGGTGGGCTTGAACCACTGATCCTGTGGTTCACAGTTCAGTATTTATCCTACAGAGCCACTGCACTCCCCTAACAGCTTTTGTTGTTGTTGTTGTTGTCAGGTGCCATCGAGTTGGAACCGACTCATAGCAACCCCATGCACAGCAGAACAAAACAATGTCCAATCCTGGGCCAACCTC